CCTGTTCCTGCTCGCCGTGAGCCCGCCGAGGGCGGGTGGGAGCGCTCTGCTGCCGCGCGAGCAAAGCTCTCCCCCCACTGGCGGTGCCGTGGAGCCGCTGGTTCAGGTACCAGGGCGCTTACAGCAACGCTGTTGTTGGGGCTGGCCACGGGCAGTGGGGTGAACAGAAGGCGTTAGCTGTTCTCTTGGGGAAACATCTTAATGCCGGAGCAAGTAGGCTTTTCCCTTTTCCTCAGCGAGCAAGTGCTCTAGGTGGTCATCAGGGTAATAAATGACAAATACTGCACACATCACAAAATACTGGGGTTTAGTAAGACAGTGTTATAGCGATGCTGAATTTTTGGCCCTCTCTTTTGGGATCTGAATGTTGCAAGACAGACCAGATGGAGAAAGAGAAACTTTTGTTTTTTTATAAAGTGTCTTAATGCCGTTCATACAGCATTGAAGTCCATTCAAAACATTGTGATCTCCTAGCAGAACTTAATTTATAAAGCTTGGAAGGAGCCACAGTCAAATCCTACACCAAGGCCCCTGTGCTATACCCTGGTATAGCACAAAACTGAGCATTCTTAGAATGAGCTTTCTGTAAGACCGTTTCCATTGCTGAGAAGGTATTACGAAATGCTGCAGTAACACTCGCTCAGCGTAAACCAAAGGAGTTGCAAAAGCACATGCTCTAGGTTGGGTTACTCAGAAAAGGAGAGAGCAAAAACAAAGTTAGAATGACTTTCTTCGTCATTGACGGTATCAGGTGTATGGATCTAGATTTTGGTGGGGAGGGGGAAGATAATAAGGAGTATGAGTATGTATGTATGTCATAATAGAAGGTGTCTAAATAGCTGTCTACAGTGTTTAGATCTTGTGCAAAATATATTGGTAAATAACAACAGAGAGCAGAGACTTGTTTCCCACCCAGCTGAGGTGGTAAGAGGTTGAGAATAACATCTGGGGATGGGATTCTATTTCTATTGTAAGGGAATAGACACTATTTTATTTCAAGAATTGATATAATCCATGACTTCTGATCTGTCAGCCAAAACCCAGTAAAGTAAGTGTTAGGAATTTTAAGTGATGAAATTCAAGCCACTGGAAGTAGCATCCTCTTGTAAATACAGAGGAACATTATATTTTGAAGTTAGTGTTCTTTCTGTGCCTTTAGTAGCAACCTGGGATGAAACAATAGAAGCATATGTATTGTTTCCATTTCTATATCAATCCTGTTATGCTTGTTTTCTGTAGGCTAGATAGGCCAAAGGTAGCCTATTGAGGGTTAGTTACTGATTAACTATTTTTTCAGTGATCAGCACTTCGAATTTCAGGCATAAATGACTGAAGAGTTTGCATTCCTCTCCAATAATAACAATACAAGTTGGGAGTGATGTCAGTCGAAGAGGGGGGGGAAGCAGAGGCTGACTTGGGTTTTATGTAAATTTACATGGAAAAGAGATGGGACAAAGCAGTAAAAATACAGGTTAGTTTGCTGAAATGTGGACTTTTTAAAAACTGTAGGTAAGCATCAGTTGTAATGGCTGAAGAAATCGCTTGTTTTCTAATACATTGCAAACAGACCCTTAAGCCTCGCTATAAGGTGGTAGAGTTGTAAGTTTCTTAAATACAAACTAAAAGTGTGAGAGTTTAGAGCATTTCCTTAGACTGTTCTGTCGAGATTACTCCTCCCTAAAACAGCCCTGAGTGCATCAGATGAAGAAAAAGTTATATCTTTTTTCAAAGTTGTTATTCAAATGTATAATGTTGACTGGGTTTAATTTTTAAGAAAAAAGGAATTCTGTCAATTTGGAAAGTTAAGGTAAGATTCCAGAGCATTCTGTTAATATCCTTACCAATTTTGTGGCCTTGTTAGAAAACTGACTCCTTGTAAAATAATACAAGATATGCAAAGCAAACTGCAGAAAACCCTTCTATTCTTTCATAGTACTCTAGGCTGTTAATTTTAACTAGAATCCGTGTAGGCTCAGGCATTTAAAGATGACTGTGTTCTTCTGACAATGCCTCATACCTTTCTTATCTGAAATACTTTGTTTTGTCTTAATTACCCTTCAGTTTTTACGTCGTGGGTTACGTGCATTTCTGTAATAGGTAATTGGTAACACTCTCGACCTTTGAATAACTGAATTTTGTATTTTAGGGTAAAATCTTTGGAGTATCTTTTCATGCATTACCACAATCACTTGTGCCAGAATATGGAAGTATTCCGAGGTAAATTAACATTGTATATTTAGATCTACACTTACTTTGCTCTTTGTATATGCTAAACTTGTGCTAGAGGAAGAGGAAAACACTTATTGTAGGCCTAGTAAAGCTTATGGAGGGATATAGAAATAGTTTTAGTTGAGGGAGGAGGGAAGTAGAAGTTAGAGGGGAATTCAGAACCAGAGCTATCATTCAGTTCTATTTCTTTTTACCCACTCTCGTTGGGGAAGAATGTCCTATATTTAAAGTTTTATGTATTTTCCATGAGATAGTTCTTCTAGGAAAAGTGAAGTTTATTCTGAATGTATGGGTTTTGTGGTGTTTGGTTTTTTTTTTGGATTCTTTCCTCAGCTTTCTTGTTGATGCTTGTGAGTATTTAGAAGAACATATTCATACTGAAGGACTCTTCAGGAAGTCTGGATCTCTTGTTCGCTTAAAAGCATTAAAGGTATTTTCTAAAGTCATATATATGTGTGTGTGTGTATGTGTATGAAATAAGCTGAATTTCACTTGAGTATCTGTATGTTTTAGCTTTTGAAGTCTTCTCAGTAGCATTTGAGTTCTAATACTGGAAGTAGTTTGGTAACGTTACCTGCTTTAGAAATGAGAGAGAGGATCTTGTCCAGAAACTGACAAACTTTTTTTTCCCTCTGGGGAAACTTTCTGGATTGTGAGAAAACACTTGGACTAAACAAACTTGACAGCAGTTATACATACTGGATAGTGTGTGGATGTTTGTTTAGCAGTATTCTCCCATGGTAATACGGACATGAGAGAAGCTGTAAATTAACACATGTTGCCCTTTAATATCATCTGTGTCTCTTTGTAGATACTGTAGTTAGGTAAAACAAGACTGAAAGTAAAAATGGGGAAGCTTTGGTGGTCTCTTCTGATATAGGCTGGAGGATTAATGCCTAAACTTAGAAATCTGCCAGTATGTTGAAGACTTCAAATTATGTTTCTTATGAACAATTTCAGAGTAAACTGGATCAAGGTGAAAACTGCCTCTCAGCTGCATTGCCGTATGATGTTGCAGGGCTTCTTAAACAGTTCTTTAGAGAGCTGCCAGAACCCATCCTTCCAGTTCATCTGCAGGAAGGTCTTTTCAAAGCTCAGCAGCTAGGAAATGAGAAGAAAACTGCCACTGTGCTGCTTTCATGTTTAATGGCTGACAGAACAATTGAAGCTTTGCGATACTTTTTCAACTTTCTGAGAACTGTGTCCCTAAGGTCAGTGTAAAGTAATGTAAAGAGGGTTGTTTTTTTTTTTTTTTTAAAAAAAAACCAAGTATCCCCCATAAATTGCTTTAACTTTTCTTTTTAGGCCACTGCTGTCTTTCTGTGATTGATTTTTGACTTCAAACCTACTGATTTGCGGTCATGTACTAGAATTCAAGTACAGTCTTTTTCCTTCATTAATTCAGAGTGTTTTCTTCTGAAACTGTACTATACTGGAGACTTTTATTCTTATTCCTTCATAGCTATATTTCTAGTTCTTTGGAAAGCAAAAAGTGACTGATGAAACTAACATCATCTAACGATACCTTGCATAGCTAAAAACTGATGGGGATCTATAACCTGTTGCATTCAATAACATAGTCATGCAGTTACCTAGCTTGGGGGTGCATAACAAGCCTACTTGCTAATCTTGATATATGAACACTCAAGCGAATGACTCCAGGATTTTATTTTGTTTTGTTTCCAGTTGCATTTGTGTTATTGTTTTTTCTCTTTCCACTGCTTATGTCCTGCTAACTTTTTTTAAACAAAAACATTTTTCTTATTAAGATCTAATGAAAACAGAATGGATAGCAGTAATCTGGCAGTGATATTTGCTCCCAACCTCTTGCACTCAAGTGAAAATGAAAAGATGACAGCCAATACAGAAAAAAGAATTCGCTTGCAGGCTGCTGTTGTGCAAACACTTATTGATCATGCAGCAGAAATTGGTAAGATGGCAAATGTTTAAGGAAGTGCATTGTTGCACATACTTGGGTCCAATTTTTCTTTCTAACTCTTTTAAAAACCTTTAAAAATATTTCTCAACTAACTCAGGACAAGTACCAGAATTTATCTTGGAAAAGATTCCTGCAATGTTAGGTATTGATGCCCTTGAATCTACGCCCTCACTGAGGGGCCACGAAGACAGTGAAAGTGAATCTCCCAGTGAATGTAAAAGGAGGAGACAACGAAGCGTTGGGGGTAGGTATGTTTGCTGAAAGCTTCAGCAACTAAAATAGACTAATTCTGAGACTTTAGGTATGCTGATCCTAAGCAGAATAGACTTCTGTGAAATTTGTTAGTTGCTGTACAAGGCTTCAGTAATCATGTCAATATATTGTATATTTACACTATGACTTTATTTTGATATGCCTGTTTATTTTGATATGCCTGTTTTCTGCCAAAGCAGCTATTTTGTTGGCATCTCGCCATGTAAAGTGAGATCAACGTTCCAGCTTTTTGGTGAGCCAGCTTCAAATCCTGTTGCAGAACACAGATGAAATCTTTTAAAAATTTTACTCATAGTCTTGAAATTATATTTGGATGCTCAACAATTGCATAGTTTGATAAGTGAGGTCATGAGAGGGCAAGCATATAAATGGCAGTGTCTTGAATCAGAAGATAACTCTCAATTCGACATAGTATTCTTGTGCAAACTAAACAACATGTTACCCACAACATCCTTGAAGAGCTTACAGTATGAGAGCTTTGTCAGAGTTGTCAGGATAAGGAAGTCTAGGGAAATTCACTTTAGACTTTGCGTATCTTTTTCATGTATGCAGGTTAAAACTTTATTTACACATGCTTTTCTTTAACTAGTTTGATTTATCTTATAAAAGTTTACTAGCCCACATTAAATGTTTCAGAGCTTAGTAACAGTGTATCATACATATATGCAAAATGGTGGTTGGAAAATAATTAAAAATTAATATTCTAGATTAAGTGAGATTTAAACTCATTCAATAAGATTTGGTTTAGTTTTAATTGATCTGTTATTTTCAGACAACGTAGCTTTGTAACGCAGATTTGTACGTGATATGTGAGCTTGCTCATTTTTGAAAAACCCGAGGGTTAACTGTTTCTAAACCTTGGGGAATGAGAAGAGTTTTATGGTTGAATATGGCAAAAACTATCTGAACTTCATTGAGGAGATTTGTTTAGTGCTTTAAAAAGTAACTTCTGTAGCTTCTGAGTTTCAAAATACATAACTACATTTTTCTTTAGAATGTAGGAATTGCAAGTGTCTCCTAATACTAAAATATTAGGAGTGTATTTCTGTTAAGCAGAAGAAGGAAGCACCAGAGTTGCTCAGTTCTAGAAACTGACTGTGAGGCTTTATTGGATATTGGTGTGCTCTGATAGCCTGGGTCTGTTCCTTTTACATGTAGGATATTCAGTAGACTACTTTTTTTTTTGCCAAATACGGACAATAGAACAGTGTGTTCTGTGTTCTTCTACATTCTCCTTTTGGAAAAACTATGCTGTATGTGCACTTCACCTGACTTTGACTGTAATTCTGATTGTGTATGTATTCCTTATTTATTTACTTAGTGAGTATATCCTTAGCTCATGTAACTGGAGTATTAAACTTGACAACAGTTGAAATTAATGTTTTATTATTGTATACATTTAGCCAGAATATCTTCTTTGTGTAATGTACTTGCCACTTTTTGAAGACAGGACATCATCTTGGAATTGCCAAGTGATAAATGTTTGAACGTTAAAACTGTGAGGAGAAACGGTTAGAATTTTCTGTGGAGCAGGTTCTGGCATTATGCAGCTTCTGCTATTTCTCCAGATACGTTAAAAACATATTACTCAATAGTATCTATTTTGAAAGATAAGTTTTGAAAAACCACCTGCTGTCTACTAGGCACCAAGGAAGACATACCTCAGGCTTTTAGTTCAGCTGATCACTGCTATAGACACAGGGAATACAACTTTAGGTTGCAGCAGCACTTAATGAAAATGCTGCTGTCTTATTGTTCTTCTGCTTTTAAGTGTGTAAAACTTTGTGCATGTTCTACTGGTTTCATTTTGTCCTTAAAAAGAACATAGTTCACAATTTTTACGGTATTTCTGTGCAAGATCCAAGTTATATACCTGAATTTGGTTTTAACTTTAAAGTATTAAAACTTTACCAGTTTTACCTGTGAGAAAGTCTACAATGATCTCTTCTGGGTTTGCCTATAACAAATCAGAGGGCAAATAGTTTTATAATAACCAATAGAACTCCCTACAAAAAACTTTGTTGTCTTTGCATTAATTTTACATTTTAAAGAATATGTAATTTTCTAGTTATTGTGAAAGATTAATGGAACTGGTATGTCTAGAAAATCTGGAGTATAGATTTCTTTAGATAAAACCACCATTTCAACTGAATTGCTCTATTTCTTTCTGAAAGGATATGAGTTAAACTTTAGTTAAAAATAGAGCAAAACCAACTTAAATATTAAATTTGATTGCTCGGTGTCTTGCATTTCAGATTTTGTTAGTGGAGCATTGAATAAATTTAAATCTAACAGAACACCCTCCACTACCCCCCAGCAAGACAAAAGTGGTAGGTATTGGTGTATTTGTACTAAACGGAGACTGTGCAGTATCTTTTGGATTTGTAGACTATATTCCAAAAAACAATTTGAAGCTTCGGAAGTTAATTGAGGATAAATGATTTTGTTTAAATTGTTTAAAACTTTGAATATAGTTACATTTTGATTGAAGATACTGCACTTACTGTTTGGAGCAGCTACAATCACTGCAGCAGTGGGCTGAGCAGTTTTAGGATTAGTAACTAAGCTTCTGCTTTTTAGCTAATGCACACTAAAGCTTTAGTGCAGTAGTACAGCATTTTATCCTGTTGAGAATGATTTTGCTAAAACTGAAATTCTTTTGCTTTTTCTGTCCCTTAAACTTGCAGAAGATGATTGCACTTAGTGTCTTTTTTCTAATAGCTATATTTTCTTGTACGAGTGTGCAGTTCTGGATTTTCCTTTCTGGGATGCTAACTTGGAGGGGGGGGAAGGGAATGGACCCTAAAAGCTATATTGATTGCTCTTTGTTTTTAAAATGCATGCACTTTGGTTAAGATTTTACAGCCCCCCTTTGTTTGAGGAGGGGACACGCACTAAACTGTTTATGTTCAAGTAAAGTCTCATCCTTTTAAGCTGTTGTTGCAGATTGTTTTCTTAATTGCAGTCTTTTCGTCAGTGACTCCAGTGGTTCTTACTCCAAGTACCAAGCGTAAACTTCCAACTGATTGCTCTCAGGGCTTGTCTAGCAAGAAAAGACGATCTTTTAAGCATAGTTTTGCTTTTGAGTTGTTACCAAGTAGCATTTTTAACAGCAGCTCAACACCAGCATCAGGTACAGTGCCTTTATTCTTTTCCTTGCTGCTTAAAGTGATTGTTTCCAGCTTTTAACTTAAACATACTATTTTTTGTTCTTGTTGGGCAGTCTTAACTTACTTAAATGTTCCTTACGCTGCTTACCCTCTTTGAGTAAATAATGTTCTGCATTTCTGTTCATCAGTGACTGTTACGTCTGAAAAGGCTATGTGAAATACCTGTCACCCTTGTCAAATCTGCAATTCTGATGTCCTTTGATTCTTTTCAGTCCCTTTGTACCACATATTCAGGTTATACTCATGTCCTCTACTACTTCCAGTCTGTCTCCAGTATATAACTTTATTTCTGTCTCTACACACAAATCCATCAAGACTGCCTTTGTTTCTAACCTTTTAGAAGTTACAGCATTCTTCTGTCTCCTAAATACTTGAATGGCTTATGTCAGTTCTGTATGAAGTAGGATGAAAGTTACTATTATAAAGGTTCTTTCTTGAATCCAATCACCTCTGGTTCTCCCTGGACGCTAAATAACCTCAGAATTCTATAGAGAAAGTTTTTCCCTATTCTTTTTGTCAAACTTTTCTTACTCTGGTACCCCTTCGTTCTACTAGAGTGCTTCTAACTGTCAGCTTTTTGCACAAAACATATTTTGTTTGCTGCTTTAATATACTGCCAACTGAATCTAGAATAAAAATTTCTAGATTGATCATGTTTATCCTTCCTAAAGATCAATTTTTTTTCCCCAGTTGCATGGTATAAAACTGCCCAAATCTCTCCTCTCTAATATATTTTTAATGAAATCATTTCAAGCTCATTGTGAAATTCTCACCTTTAAGGATAAACAAATTAAAGTAATGACATCTTCTAAAGATGATAGCAATACATCTGTTTCATAAAAAGTTAGGAAATAGAATAGCACCTCTTCCATTTATTGTTGTTGCTTTAGTTGTTCTGCTAAAGTATTTATCTAAAAGAGTAGACATGCCACACATTAATATAAAGATAGAATTTAACTTTTCTTTATAAAGAAGTTTAAGTCCGAGAAAACCGATCTGGTGACAGAGTGGAAACTTAGTCGAAAGTGTGACATCGCTAGCATGCTTGTACGTCTGTTAACAGAGTATCTTCCTGGCTTTAATGAATTGCATCCAATTGCTTCTAGAGATGCTACAAGCAACAGCTTCATTTAGTGTTAAATAAAAGTGGAAGTCAAAATAATCTGAAGTCATCACTCCAAAAAATAAGCAAAATATCTGTTCTATATAAACCTCCCTTTGACTGTTTTGACTGCTAAGACTTTCTTACCTGAAAACATGACTATTTGAAGATCACTTAATTATAATTTAATAGTAATTTAAGATTATATGCAATTTTGTTCCTACAGTTCAGTTTGATGCAAGCCCTTGTGTGTCTCTCGAGTCATCTCAAAACTCACTATCTCCTTCAACTGGTGGTGAAAATCATTTGTTCAGTACAGGAAACAGAGGAATTAAAAGACGTACAAGTAAAAAGTTATACAGGTAATTTGCCTTAATCCACAGAAAGTAAAGATAAATTTGAGAGAGAATTCTGTATCCTTTGACTAATGATGTGTAAAATCTCATTCTCTCTTTAAAAATGACCTTTCCTGGTGTATAAAACATAATCTGTTTTTTTTTATTTTTACAATCTTCTAAAAACCACTAGATCTTCCAATGCGGTAAAGTGTAGCTCAAAATAATTTAAGATTTGGTGCAGTAGCTTTAAAGGAACTTTCCTGTCCCTATTAAAAAAGCTTGTCAGGAAGGCTATAGCAGACATCAAGCTAGAGGAAATAGCCAGTATCAAGATGTTTTCACTGTCTTCCTAAAAAGTTGAATTTTTTTTGTGTGTCACTTCCTCCCCCTTTTTCCCCGCAGGGTTGAATCAGGAAAAACGGGTTGCTTTTCTCCAAAGGTTAGCCGAAAAGAAATGGTTCGTAGGTCATTACGCTTGAAGTTTGGTTTGGGGAAAAGCAATAGAGACATAGTAAGTATGCTGCTTCTATAGCATTCTTCTTGTCACTGTGCAAATTTATTTAATCGTAAGGCTTGGGAACTGCTTTTCAGTGGCAGGAGGGACTTATTTTGGTAATGGATCACAATTCTGGACCTGCTACGTAGTATGAGGAGCTCTAGACTTACTTTTATAACAGTAACTGATCAGCTTGTGAGCAGTAAGTCTGACAGTTCCTGAACTTCTGGTATAACAGAGCATGTGCGTGCATCACTACATCACTGTGTTGCGAGTCTGCCTTACTGCAGGTAGGCTGTTCCCTACCTAGGTCTAGAGAGCACCAAGGGAAGATGAAGGATGGCTAGGAAAAGGCAGCTATGGCTATGATTTGTATAGCCTTTTCTTGGCCGTCTTTTCCAGTTGCTCTATCACTTAAATTGTGGATATAAAATGGTTCTTCTGTAAATGAGACTTTAAATTACAAGTTTATGAAGAGTAACACTTCTTGTTTGTTCCTTCAAGAATACCGTATCAGGATGTGCAGTTGGTAACAGAGCTGAAAATATTGGAAGGCGTCTTGCAGGCCAGCAAGATTTGGAAAGCAGAACTGAATGTGCAAAAAGAGGTGTACTCTTCAGCCCATGTATCGGTGAGAAATTCCCTAAAAAAGGTAAATATCTAATAGACTGTATTCAATGAGGAAAGCTTTTGCTTTTATGAAGCAAAGTAACTACAAAAAGGTATCAAAGCCTTTAGGTTAAAGGCAATTCTAGCTAGTAGGGCGAAAGTTGAACGCTAGTAGTGGCTCCTGGGGGCGGGGGGGAAGAGGTATTTAGCTAATGAGGACAGGGTTGTAGGATCTATGTATTTTGGTAGTTCTCTTCTTAGTTAAATAAGATGAGATGCGTGATTTCAGTTTTCAATACTGTAACCTTTTTTCACATCTCTGAAACTGAAGGGAGTGATGGTACCTTAAAATTCAGTGCTGCTTAGATAACTAGGTTTTTTGTAGCAAGGACTTTGTCTATCATGATCATTAATTTCGTCAGCTGTGTTCTAATCACAAAACATCATTCTTAAATACTGTGACATTTGTTTTAAGGTTCAAAGAACGTGAGCAAGTCAGAAGAGAACTTGTTAACTCCAAAATGTCACGATAAAGTAGTTTACCGAATGTCATGGAATAGTCCTAATGTTACGGATTCCCAGGAGATCAGCAGCAATGAGGGAAGTCTGCCAGGACACGCTGAAGCAGGAGTTGGTTCTTTGGAATCTGTTTTCATAGTTGGAAAGCCACCAGTTGTTCCAGATGAGTTCAGATCCACAACTGTAAACAAGCAAGACAGCAGCTTAAAGCTTTTGCTATGTGAGGAAGAAAGTAATTTAACTACAGAAACATTACTCAAAGTTAAGAAAGCCTTTTCTGCATCTGGAAGTAATCTTTACAATGTGATAAATGATACAAAGTCATCTTTCTCAGGTGTTGAAGAAGAAACATTAAATGAAACTCTGTGTCTCACAGGGCTCAGTCCAGAGAAAGAAAGGTTAGCTGAAACTTCTGGAGGTCTAGCGAATACAGAATCCAGACAGCTGTTTCACCAATTTAATCAATCTTATGCTATCGATAAACAAAAATCAAAAAAAGATGACACTAAAGTTCTGGAGAAAAACTTCCAAAGTTCTATTGAGATTGAACTTCAGGTCCAGAAACCAGACATGAAAAATGTAGTAGAACTTACTGTGCCTCAAGTAATGGCCAGGGAGGATGAGCTGACTTTTCAGAACAGTTTGTTAAAAGATGACTTAAACAAATGTGATCCCTTTGGGAAAAAAGAGGAAATAAAATTAACACACACTGAAACAGCTGAAAACTGTATGGTAAAACACTGTAATTTGGAAGAAGATACTACTAAACCTTCTGGGGTGGGACAGGTTCCCACTTCACAGCTGCCTAAATCAGGAAATGAACTAGGCAACCAGTACTTGCAAGCTGAAAATTCTGATAAAATTTTAATTAAAACATCAACCGTTTCTGATCATGGAAAGGTTTCTGACCACATACATTGGTTCAACAAGCTTTCATTAAATGATCCAAGTTCTGCAAGCAAAACTAAACCGCCTCTTAAATTTCAACGTACTCCTGTTCGACAGTCTGTAAGAAGAATAAACTCCTTGCTGGAAGCTAACAGACGATCTGTAAGCTGTCAGCTAGTCCAAGCTACTGATGTTGGTTCACCACTTGTTAAATCTTTGAGCTACGATTCTGCACTGTCTTCCTGCACAGAAAAGCCCTCAAAGAATTCAACAGCTTTATCACTCAAGAGTGAAAGTTCACATGACCAAGTTTCTACATCTCATAAACAGCTGGACTTAACATCGAAATCGTGTTGCAGACGGTTAAATCCATTAGAGAAGCCTGATGTTTCTGTAAGGACTACTGGAGTCTACAAACAGAAAGTGACTGTTAATCCATCAAAGTCTGTTTTAGAAGACCTAACCAATCATGAAACAGTGAAATCTAGTTTAAAAGTCAATGCAGGTGCAAATATTCCAGGTGCTGTGCCAGAAAAATGTACTATCACAAAAAATCCTCTGGGAAAAGAAAAGATTCGTTATAGAGGCTCTCCAAAGAATCCAATATCTAAAGTGAAACTCCTACCAACCACAAAACCAGTAGATTTATAGGATTAAATAGGATGTCTAAATGGGCTAATTAGAACTGTTAACCTTTGGGAAAACTAAATTTGTATTTTTTAAGCTTTAATTATTTGAAATTTTTTAATTACAAGTCATGGGCTTGCAGAAGTTGCTATATCTCTGTTTTATGTTGATTTTTTTTCATTTTCCGAAGCTTTTTTTATAGTTGCTAGCCTTTCATCCAAATGGTTTTGACTTAAAAAACAAAATCTGGTTTTACAAATGTTAGCATTATAGCTCATACTTGATCATCTAAGAATCTGTCAGATAGCTTCTAAAAGCGTGCTGCATGTCCCAAAATAATTCTTGCAGCATTTAGACAAAATATCATTTTAAAGATTTTTTTCCCCTCAAACGTAAAACAAAATCAACAAGACATGTGAAAGAAAATGCTTTAATGCCAAATATTGGTGTATTAAATTTATTTTCTTCCTAGTTTTAAGTGTGTATTTTAGCACTGCCTTGATATTTAAGTTAGCCCTCACCCCAGCTCTACTTCTTCTGCGACCATGACTTTTATTTCTGTTGGAGTAAGGTGGGAGCACGTTTTCCTTTGAGTAGATAAATGAATCATATTTTGCCGTGTGTGTACACATAGTGGAAAACTATTAGAACACATGGAAAATAAATGTGCAGATAATTCAAGCAGTGAAAAACAAGTCTTAAAAGTTCCTCTGACAACTTATGTTCTGCAACGTGTACCAAGTATCTTTAGTTGTCAGCAGTAAGATATTTTGTCTTAATATGAAAAGCTGGTCTTAACTTATTTTTAGAGTAATAGAATAGTGTTAGCTAGGTGGTGTAGAAGCAGATTTTAGATACTGATTATGTTGCAAGAGACAAATGTAAAAAGCCATACTGTCTTAAAAGTTGATTTGCACAAGCAAATGTTTACATCTCTCAGAATTAAAGTTGTTTGTCTATCATCAGTTCTAAAACTACTTAAGTGTAAACACTTGAAACTGTTCTTTAGCTTTCTGTGTGTACAGATTGCTTGTTGGCAAAATGTAAGAGCTGAAAGCACTGGATGCTCTTGGTTTTAATAAAACCATTGTTTTTGTCCCTTCTCCGTGACCATTCTTCTACAGTGACTTACAAATTTAGCTTACGTTGACATACACAAAAGACTGAGGACAGTAAAAGTTAGTAAGTCTGAAAATATGTGTCAGAAATAATTCTGTTCTGACACTCCTTGATTTTGTTTATCTTAAAGTTTGAGTCTCATAACTAGCAAAATTGTAGCACAAAATAAACAGTTTATCAGGACTTGGGCTTCTAAAATGCTTGAGTGATCTACTGAAAGAGCTAGTTCTGCTTGCTTCCTGTTCCCCTCCTTCCCCATATATACAAAGATTCATTAGGTGAGTTAGTTCAGTTCAGCGATCTTGTGGAAAGCTCCTGCCCCTATCAGCCCAGCTGAACTACTTCCCTCTATTGCTAGGTGATTGCTGAGATGTAACATTAGGGAAACAGGACGAGGAGTATGAGGAGGTAAGCAGCGATTAAACTGTCTGAACAGGGTTATTGCTCAGACTTTACTTTCATGAGGTAAATGAGCCAGCATAGCAGTTCACCACCATCCAAAGAGGAGGCTGCTTCTCCCTGCCCTCAGCTATGTGTTCCTACTCCTCTGCTTTTAGTAGGTGCTGGCAGATCTTTCAGTAGGGTAAATTTATGCACCAGAGCACCATGTTTTGTGCCACTTCAATGAGGTAAACGGCCTTAGCAAAGCAACTGCCAGCTGCCATAGCTGATGCAAGACAGGAGGTATGAGATGGAAATAGGACAGGAGATAAAGGAAATGTCATGAGGATGGAAATAAGATCTGACTCTTTCCACAGTAGCGAGCTGTCATGTCAACAACTGCTTGAAACGGTGAGACTTGAGATTTTTCCACTAATGTGCCAGGTATTTTGCCTACTAGCATGACTGATTTTCTGGAGCTTTGGTGGAGCACCCACTATTAAGGGCAGAGCTCTAAGGGTCAGGGATCTGCAGTAGGGATTATTCTGTATGCCGTCTGCTTTCAGCTGTCATCCGAAGAATATCAGAAACTTGAGTTTTGTGAATATTTTGCTGTGTTTAATCACTAGCTGCTTTGTTAAATGTTGCTATAGTCTTAAATATTGAAAGACTTCTTTCTTGTGTAATACAAAGGCAGAACAGCTCTTTGTATATATCTGCCAGGGACAACCTCTTTGCTACTGATCTGTTTCTTGCCATTTCTTGTAATTTTTACTCAGGAAGCTTTAAGTTTGTAGGCTTAGTTATTTGAAAAGTAGGGCATTACAATCAAAATTCCTTTTCATTTTCTACCGTAAGTATTTCAGGTTGCTATGGTAGAGTGTCTGTGAGGGTGTATGAATAGTACCGACTCAGTGACAGTTAAATGACTGTACTAGCTAATGGTTTTGACGCATGACCGAAGCAAGCAAGAAGGTGGTTCACTTCTAGAAGGCAGTCAGCTAAGGGAGCTGTGAAGCTTTAAAATATGTGAATCCTTCCTTTAAAGGAAAAAAAAAAGTAAACTATTTTGATCTTCAATACTAGTAGCTCTGGAATTAGTACGCAAGTCAGAAGGGCAGACTTTCAGAGAAGCTGAGAGATAAACCAACTGTTATCACAGATAATATCAGAGAAAGGTGTAGGCTCTGTCATTAATGGGTTCAAAGAAACCTCTGAACAAATATCTGTTTTCCTCCAAAACATGATTGATTTTTTTGTAGGGATGAGAAATAGTAGATGCCCAATGGAGGTCTAGTTTAATCCTGCAAGTTACAGAAATGAAAGGTATACTAAAAGCCAGCAGAAAGATTAGTCTGTATGTGGAAGCGTAGTTCATGATCGGTTTTGTTTCTAAGGTTTTCTATATAGATTTTTCTCACATCCCGTGAAGAATGTTTCACATTCATGTCAGTAGCAGTTAACATTATTGTCTATCATTTAACAGCACTTGGTAAAACCTTCTCATTTAGGAAGATCCTTTCACAGTTCTGGGGGTTTTTTAATCCTCTGCTATGGATGATGTGTACAACTTTGCTTGACTTGGAAACCTTCACCCACAGTGGTCAGGGAGATGACTGCTGTGCTTTCCCTTATAAACCTACAGTTATGCAATACTATCATCTAGTAATTAAATCACAGATTGTGTTATTCTGGGGAGAGCAAGCATATTGGGAAGACAGTTGCAATTCTAGGAATAAGTAATGTCATCTTTCTGTAAACATGTTAGTCTATCAACAACTTCCAGTTTATTTTCAGAATACCGTATTCTAACTGAAACACGGGATCTTGAATAGCCTATCCCAATCGAACCCAGGCTTTGTATTTTTTTTTTTAATTAAATAATGTGGCAAGCAATCTGGGCATAACACAGAGCGTGCAGAGGGGAAGCTGGGGCGAGGAGGGGGCTCAGCCTAGGGGCTCTCCAGGCCCTGGCGGCAGGGGAAGCCG